GTGCATTGGCTCAACACCACAGTCACATTGCCTAGCACGCAGGCACATAGGCAATGTCCCCCAAACAACTAGTAAAAACAATAAAAGAAAAATTCCAGAGTGGAACCGGCTCGAGATGCTCTTGCACAGCCAGATTGCTGTCACCTGGTCCTCGACCGGTTGCACTACCTCCTCGGTCGAGTCGATCACCATAACGTGCACCACGACGCACGAGCGATACTTGTTACGCTTGCTTGAATTTGCCCCATGCAAGCCTGGACTGCACAGAGTTTGATCTTATTAGTAGAACTCAAGGAAAGAACATTCTAGTATCTGTTTAGATGCCAATTTGTGCAACTCGAGGCATGCACTCTTCACTATAACCATTTCTCTGTTTACACACAGGTAGCAACAGTAATCAAAGAATAAGATCCGACTGTGATATGTTCCTATTCACTAAGTCGAATTTGCTTGTAACCGTCATACTTGCCTGGTCATTCGTCAAACTTGCACAGGAAAAGGTGTAGAAATCGCATCGTCTACGGATGAACGCTCGATGCACTTAATAATTTCCATCCTGACAGACATGTGATATTACTATCAATTCAATCGTTCACCCACAAGGGCAAGCTGAATGTGCTAGTTTGAAATTCAATGCGTTCGAAAGTGTCCCTCACGTAAGAGCAGCATTCACGTATCGGACTATGGACTACCAACCTAAACTCGGAACTATACAGAGTAACAGAAACTGTCGAGTCATACAACACAACCATGGACGCAATTCATCGCAATAGCATGTGAGCTGGCTTTGGACCGCTGTTGTTTTTCTTCCACCTCGGGAACCATCTGAATGTACAGTTATATTTCCAATAGTAGAATTAACCACCTACCGAACAGGAACTTTCCGCCAACGATCAAAGCCAGAGCTCCGATGTCTCTTATATGCTGCAGTGATGATAGGTTGTCGCCAGCGCGTTCTGTTACACAGCCTGAAATACGGTTCATCAATGTCTCGAGTAGGCTAGGGAGTATTACTGATATTTAGCAACCATCTTCTTGAACTGCTGCCGTTCCATCTGAGATCTCGGACGATCATATTTTGCCATGAATTCTCGATCTTCAAACGTCTTGGGCATCGGCATGTTGTATTGCTTTCTAATCATGTACCTCGGGGGTATCATTACATAAAAACGGGAAAGTGCGGTACTACCATTTCCGATCACCACGTAGTGCATCGTGCTCGAGGATAACTTGATTGACGAATTCCCTGAGCAAGGATGTTAACCACCTACTGAGGCCTCCTCGGCAGCTTTTCACTTCGAAACTCCTGCCTTCTCTGCGATGAGCTTTCTCGAGCGTTCTGTGAATACATCCCTGTGATTCGAGGCAAGTTCGATAGGGTTCATGGCCTGCTACACAACATCATGACAATTTATTATACTACTAGCAGTACCACTA